AGATGAATTATTATCCTTTTTCTTTCCTTTCCCCTCCCTCTTCCATATTCTCCACTCTATAGGTTGTCAGAGAAAAATCACAATGTGGGGAGGCTATGCTTTTACTGCACAGTACATAAAGCTAAATTACAAGAAAGTAACAAGTAACTCAAAGAACATAAATTAAATTTTAAGGGGAAGAAAAACACATCATTTAAGGAATTTAGAATAATTCATTAAATAGAACTAATAAATAGTTTTAATAGTTTTTATTTTATAAATAGTTTTCAGTTCAACATTATACAATCAGCTTAATTCCTAACTTTAACAACAGAACTTTGTTCAGTAATTCAAGTACACTTATGGTAATTAATCATGTGATATACTATATGTTAGTTAATCTTCTATCAATTATCAAATTAATATTCTTTTAAATTTTTCCCAATTTAATTTTAATACCTCAATATTGTAACTTTTCTTCATTTTGTAGATCCAGATCCTAATACAGAATATCAAGGTGAAACCAATGGCAAACCAGGTCAGATGGAAATGTTTAAACGTGACTTTACATCGCGTATTTGGCTGACATATCGCAGGGAATTCCCAGTGCTTGCTGGTTCAGCGTTCACAACGGACTGCGGCTGGGGTTGCATGCTTCGCAGCGGACAGATGATGCTGGCTCAGAGTTTAGTTTTACACTTTCTTGGAAGAGGTAATCCTCAGTTAATTCTTAAAAAGCCATAGGGAGAGAAACTATTTTAAAAAAAAATGATATTATTAAAAGTAGATATAAACGTACGTATAAAAGTGTATGGAAAATAAAGATATTTTTTTCTACTACTTACAGCACAATATTTATTTTACTTGTTTTTTGATTATTTAATTTTTATTTTTTTTTTTGTAATTTAATGTTTGAGAGCTGCTACTGTATATAGTACATTTCCACTGGAACATGAATTAGAAATATAGTATAATAAAAATCTAATTATGAAGTGAGATAGGGTTTTTATTTGTATCTGAACTACTGTAGTAGACTTTTAGTTAGTTTCAACATAAATATTTGATATAATGTATTCTTTAAAACAGAAACTTTAAGCTAGTATAAAAATTATATTTTAATGTGTAAAATTAATAATAATTGTCTTTACTATAAAATTCTGGTACTGAACTAAATGACAGTAACAAAAGATTTAAAAAATTTGTGCCTTATTTTCATAGATTGGAATATCTATAAGGACCAGACGGAAGTACAGAAGATACATCATTATCAAATCATTCGTTGGTTTGGAGACCAGCCCACAGTGATGAGCCCGTTCTCAGTCCATCGCCTTGTTAACATTGGTCAGAATTCCGGCAAGAAGGCGGGTGACTGGTATGGTCCAGCATCAGTTGCCCATATATTAAAGTAAGTAAATAATTTTATTTCTGCATGCATTTTAACATACCTGAGCCAATCACAGTACACATTTTGTAGGTTCCGAGTTTGTCTTTTTGTGCGAGTCATGCTAGAATTACTAGTAATTCGTACATACTTGCTATTATTTGCATTTTCTGATCATTGGTTATAACCCCATTTTAAAATAAGCCAAACTTTGTGTTCAACCAGTGGAGAAAATAAATTTAAACTAGATTATTTCCTCCATGGTTCAACTAGGTTGGTTTTCACACGAAGAATTACAAAAATAATACTTAAGAGAATAGATTAGATTGTAAAATTTTCCGTTTATTGTATCTGTATATTAGTACTATATGTACACTTGAAATCGTGGTACACAGAAGAAAGGAGGTATAATTACATTTCTTACATCAATGGTGAATATATCAAGTAGATACCAGGGAACTGAGGTTGCTATACATAATGAAACAGATACAGTACTTCGCAAGAGGATACAGAATTGTGAAATATGTAAAGTGTTATAAGAAAAGGCAATGTATTTTGTGAAACATAATTACAGCATGGAAGTAATAACTCTATGATTACAGGTACAGCAATATTTTGTATTATGTTTTGTTACAGTTAATTTATTGATTTTGTTTCGATTGTTTTCTTGCAGGGAGGCAGTGGATGCAGCACCAGATTTGCACCCACTCCTTGAACAAATATGCATATATGTAGGGCAAGATTGTACAAGTATGTACATTTTTCTGTAAATGATTTTGGAAAATTTCTGTGTTTCTTTAACACTCTGACCGCCAGCGGTTTGAAAAAATAGTATCAGCCACCGCCAGACATTTTAGCAAATTTTAACACTTTTCCGAAGCTCGTTGAGAGTGTGTATGTGATCAGATTGACATGTAGTGAACACTACAAGAACTACAAACATGTTAGCTTTACAATGGTACCAAACATTTTATTCTAATCACAATCGGTGACCCGTAACAGTAAAATGAATCACTTTTGGAGATTTACGCAATTTTGCAAAACGAAGCTGAGATAATAGCGACTTCGTGAAAGTAAATCAATAACGCACAACGCTAATGTAAACAAACAAATAGCGAACTACTTACGGTCCAGACTGAATATAGTGTTCAAATTGTCAGTACACGTTGATAATTAGTTTTTTAAAATTCAAATTATCTTATTTTCAATGTGGCCTCTAATTATATTGTTTTTTTATATAAGAATATTTTCTTGTAACACTATTAAGTATTTTCAATGCTAATATGGATAAAGTGAGTAATGCATCAATATATTTGTAAATGTTTTTTTTTTTTCAGTTTACAAACAAGATGTGATAGATATTTGTACCAGTAGGCAGACATCGTCTCTACAACCAGTCTATAAAGTACCAACAACGTATAATGACTCAACAAAA